TACACATTACTTCTCTTACTTATTAATCATACATTATTTATTAGTTCGAGAATCACTTATTATATTTTTTTATGGTTTAAGAATGAAAGAAAATATAATGGGTTGCACTTCCATTCCAAAATTATTGTGACAAAAATTTGCTAAATTTAGTTTATACATAGGAGCTCAAATTCGACACAAACTTGACTTGACACAAAATTTGAAAATTACCCAATTAATTGACACGTAAATATTAAATTAAGGTTAGACTAGAATAACACAATTAACGAGTAATAAAGACAAAAAGAAAGGTATTTAATAAATATTGTAGATAGAAAATAATTATTTTATATTTTTAAAATTTTAAAATAGTATTCAATGAATTTTTATAAAATTAAATAATTTTTATTAATATGAATATTAATATAAACATAATGAGTTCGTTTGGTGGACGTATTATGAGGGTATTAAATATTGGATTGTATTATTTTTTATTTAATCGGGTCTAATACTTTATTTGGTAAGTAAATTTGTCACCGTATTAATTTCAAAAACGTATCCTTATCGTATATTTTTTATAGTTTTAATACCACCAAAAGAAGTGGTATTATAATTCAACTCAAACGTATTATTTTGCATATTTACCATTATAACCCTCTAACTGATAAAATCAAACTGTCATCAATGTAACAAACACTGATTGAGGGTATTTTTGTTAATTCAACATTAATACGATAAAATAATTCCTTAACCAAACAACCGATTGAATTAAATAATTATTATCCAACGTTTATGTTGTGTATTACCAAACACTAGATAAAATTATGTATTATTCTAATACCATATTTAGTCTTGTCTTTTATCCTTCTGTATTGTATTAAACCGGATTATTTTTTCTATTCCATCCATTTTTAATATGACAACCAAACAAGCTTAATTTGTACTAAAAAGGGAGATTTTGGAAGTCGGTACACCTAATTAGACTTATTTGACAAAAAGTACACACAAAAAAATATTTTGAAAAAAGGTACACTAGTTAGATACAAAGACATAAATTCCCATTTTAGGAAAAATAGTGTATTAAATATCTCCTAGTTTTATGGGAGAACTTTAATATTTAATGCATATTGATTCATGTGTATTTGTTTATATATATTTGTATACGTATATATATACAAGTATGTATATACGTGCAAAGTGTAATATTAAAAGTGTAAAGTGTAAAATATTACCTTATGTGTCACCTTACTTAATGGAAAAGTGTAAAATGTTACATGTTAACATTGAAAGTGTAATACTTTCACATTTTCTCAATTAATTAGCATTTTTAGTGTAAGATGAGATATGTATATTCTGTTTGTGTAACACTTTAGGTAATGTTTTCCCTTATCTTGTGTAAATAGCTTGTTATATTATTATTGCACACTGTTATTATTACTTTTAATATTATCCTATAACACTTTACACTTTCTATTAAAAAATGTGAGATATAAGATAATACTTTACACTTTTAAAAATATTACATTTTACACTTTCAATGTTACACTTTATACGTATATACATATATATATATATATATATATATATATATATATATATATATACACATGAATCAAGGTGCATTAAATACAAAAATTCTCCCATAAAATTAGGAGATATTTAATGCACCACTTTTCAAAGAACATACACATGGTTCAATGGAGGACAAAAATGTCACAAAAAAATTAGGCAAATTCAAATTGTGTATTTAGATACAAATAAGTATTAAAATGAAGGGCTTAATAACCCTATATTTTTTAGTATGTAATTTTTACTAAATAAATCTAATTTGATATACCTCCTTACAATTTAGCCTACTAAAAATAACATGCTCGTTTGTCAAACACAGGTTATTGGTTCAATGGCTATATTAATGTCATCATTCGACGGTGGGCAAACTGTGAAATTTAATGGGCTTTTTGGAGCTTATATTCTCATATTGGGCTTTGAAATTGGGCCCATTTTGTTGGACGATCTTCTATTTCTTTTTAGACACTTTCTCGTTAAACCCAGCTTGTAGGTCAGGTGTTTACTGGTCCTTCAATCACTGGGCCATTCATTCATGGATTCTCACTTGAGATCCATTATTTTTTGAGATAGGGTTAATCTCATTTTGCACTCCGAAAGATTATTCGAATCTCAATTTACACTCTCAAAGATCAAAAATCTCAATTTACACCGTCAAATATAGGAATTTGTATCAATGTGCACCCCCAAAGATCAAAAATTTCAATTTGCACCCTCAAAGATAGAAATTTATATCAATGTGCACCCCAAAGATAAAAAATCTCAATTTGCACCCTCAAAGATAGAAATTTGTATCAATGTGCACCTAAAAACTAAATTGATAAATTATACCTAGATCCCCTCATACTTGTCACTTAATCATTTAGACCTCTTCACATTTAAAATATTACTCTTATATCTTATGACATTTGTGCACGTATAACACGTAACTCATTTTCATTGATATCTATTAATATAACCGTTAAAAAATATAATTTTATCCTAATAAAAAATTATAATTTCATATTACCCTTTATTTTATGGGTTTAATATATTCTAAAGTTCAAAATCTAGTTTACCATTTGAATGTCTAATAAAATGTAAATATTTATATAATATTTTTCATATTACCTTTTATATAAATATCTACATTTTATTAGACATTCAAATGGTAAGCTTGATTTTTAACTTTAGAGTATATCGAATCCACAAAATAAAAGGTAATATGAAATTATAATTTTTTATTAGGATAAAAT